TTCTTCCAGCCCAAAGCACGCTGCACACAGTCTGTTCGAGTCCGACTCACGCACCCGTCACGCTTGCCCCCCTACCCAGCATGTCTGCGGTATCGAGCACAGTCTATCATGACCAGCCTATTGCTTCCGGCAGCGTCAAGGGACGCCGTCCCATCTCCACCGTGACCACTACGCTAACATCTACACATACGATACCCACGCTCACCGACCGTCCTGCAATCGCTAGTATGGGCTATATGGAGATCGTTAACAAGTGGCGTGCCAAATTAGACATGAAGGCTCTTGTACATGACCCCGAGCTGGAGACCAACGCCATGGACGCCGTGGTGGCAGGGAACGGCGCCGAGACCCACAAGCTCAACCCTGGTACCTTTGGCCAGGTGATAGCTCCCGGCAAGCTAGACACCTTCGAACACGTCTTCGTAGGTGGATGGCTCTGCGAGATTCCTGATCTTCCTGGACTGGGCGACGCTTGTGCAAGTCAGTCAGTAGGCTGGATCCATAACGGGGAGACGGACCACGCAAAAATCCTCACGTCGGAGGATTACACGCGTATTGGATGCGCGTTGTATGCTGGGGTTTGGTGCTGCGACCTTGCATGAGATGAGTATTGAAATGGAGCTGTGAAAGCTGCTGATGTGCTTCCGCGTTCCGATAAGACATGATCTTCCTGATAAATTGGATAGCACCGTGAGGCGAACTGCAGTAGGGGCAATCAGTACTATAGCAATGACTACAAACTGTTTCGAGCGAACGGAATAGAGCTATGCTACCCGTACGATGAGCGATTTCAAGATGTATGGCTTGTATTGTATTACTGACATCGACTGTCCCGCCAGATTTCTAAGATTGCCAACTTGTATTTGTCTACATCGAGCTTTGCATGCTGCACGTGCCCGCTTGTTGCGAAGTTGACAGTTCTGACCCGTGTATTCTGACTTACCAGCGCCGCCACCCTTTCAGTGCCAGTCATATCTAGCTTCGAGTGTGGAGTCGACGGCATTGAGCCTTCTGAACGAGATGCACGTCTGGTAGAGCAAGGGCTTGGGGCTATGGTAGAAGCTGCAGACGATATCTCAAGCGCAGTAGTATAATGGTATCTATCCAAGCTTACTTCCCTAAGCACGACGCATATTCGTGTGCAAGTGCTTAGAGTGCATGCAATGTGTGTGGAACGCTTCTTACCAAACACCCAGATAGCAATTGTACTGCATTATCTGTTATCTGCTGCTTGGGTCTTTGGGGGAACGAGAGCTTCGCGAGGTCAGCATCAGCACGAACACATAGACTCTCACCTTCATCGTGCGTAATACTACCAGTCGGTCGGACATTCAGCACTGGTGTGATGAAGAGAAAGTCTCTTCTCACTCGCTGGGTGAAGTGTGGCGAACAGGTACAGGTTTCCTGTGCCCAACCAGGATGCTGTGCTCTGCGATCGCTTGCGACCATCTCTTCTCTACCTTTTGCCTACATGTACAGCTATAATCTCAAAGAGACCAGCTTGGTTACGATCGGTGGCAGTAGACTCCGATGGGATACTCGCATCGCGGGACGCTGATGATGCGCGCCCTCGTGCCACCAGATGCTAGTGTGTGTCATGCATCCCTTCACTGCCTCGCCGGGCATGCGCGTTGCCAAAAGGCTTCAAGCTGGGTAAGCACCAGCTTTGCTGGGTCCAGAGACGTTGAGAATCGGCAGTCCAAGGCATTGCTGACAGGCGCTATCATTATCTGGGTAAGCCCGTCACCAAGCGAGAGCGTTTCTGCTTGCAGGCATCACAGACTGTAAACCCAAGTAACAGCACTCGATGTGCACGATGCGCATCTTCGTCAAGATACACGCAGAAGCGAATCCTGGTTGCAAGCGGAAGTATCTTGTACACAACCGTGGTACTGGCGGCTGCTTACATGCCAACGCAATGTTCGATCTGCCAGGTGGGGCGTTATGATTTCTGCCCGCAGCGTGGCGCATATTTTGTTGCAGCTGCGTTGGAAGAACAGCCGGATTCGCAGGCTTTGCATTGACCACCATTGCCAACACCCACAAGTCCGTGTCGTAAGTGAATCTACCCATTCCGCGGTTTGCTCATCACAGTAGGTAAGGTTGCGGACGTGGTAGAGCAGCGGTTGTCGATAGGAAAGCACGGCGCGCCACCAAAACGTTGGCCTTTTCGAGGTTACCTCTGTCCGTGCCAGTCACGAGTGAGCTACAGGTGCTGAACACCTGTACGTCCTCGACGAAATAGTTAGTTGTGATGTGGATATACGGTTGCTGCTGTTGACTGGGTGATAATACGCTTACATTAAGCAAGCAGATAGGCCGCAGCGATCAAGATGGTCGTTTTCACGGGCGAAGGAGTGTGTTTCAGCCCGTTCCAGGGGCGGTTGGGTTCTATTGTCATCGACACACAACAGTGGGCGAGGGTGGTCTGAGCGGTAAGCAGCTTCCATCTTGCGCACGCCGCTTCGTTGTCATCTTACGCGGGACGCAGCTTCACAAACGCAATGCTCCGCTTTAGCGTGCCTTCGAGTCCGCTGAGCACGAGAGCGCTCGCACGAATCTCTTCAGACCTTGTCGGGCGTGTGGCGTAAGAGGTCATGCCGTCCAGTCAAGAGCACACTAGAGTGGGACGTCGCCAACATTGTCGGTTGGCGACGGGTTGGATCAGAAACCCATGCGTGACTGTATGCTGAATTGCGGCTGTGAAAGAAGAGCGTGGGCTCCGTCGTCGCTCTCGTGTCGCTGTGTTGCGGCGAGATGGCTGTTGTTGCGTTGGAGGAACGTGCCATTTTGTGTAGCCTGCTCGCAAATTTTGTTAGTCCGTCTTTGCCGTGGCCACAACGGCGGCTCTACCAGCACCGAATCGAGGCGAAGGGACGCGCGATGGACTATAGAGACCGTTGCGGCCTGTAGCAGATGTGCTTTGATGATATTCTGATGGGCTATCCCCAAACCGAGTTCTCGCTGATTGTTGTGTTTTTGCAGCCTCGTTTTTGTTGAGGTGTGCTGTTCGCCACGCGCCAAACCGGTAGGGGTCGTTGATCGGCCCGCTTCGTGCCCGCTTCAACGCCCGCTTCAACGCCCGCTTCAACGCCCGCTTCAGCGCC